ACCGGTAGGGTATTTTTCCAGACCTCGTTTACACCAAGTCATTTGTCAGCTGAAACTCTTAAGCACCAGCTGTGTTTGCTGGAAGTCAAAACTTTTGCTAAGTCTATAAGTAAAAGCCGTGTCTCCATAAACACACATGACACAACTGGCTTTAGCTAGCGGGGTATTACAGGAAAATCAGATGGTGATAAAAGGGTGAGGTTTTGACCCTTCTTCATAATTGTGGTGACACAGCATGTTGAGATGGAGAGCAGCACTTCATCTCATCCTCGGTGAGAACCTGGCTAATGAGGCCTGGTGCGCACCTCCTGCTGTCCACCTCCCCTGCATCTATAACACTCCTAACCCCCACCCCATCTCTCCACCTGTGCATAAATTTCAGCTGAGCTGTGCACCGCTGTCCCCGGGCTCTGATTTAGTCAATGTCTGATGTACAGTGTGATGCTGAGTGCAAGAGTTCATAATCTAAGGTGTTCTGATATTTGCTTGAAGTTTATTTAGCCTTTTCTAATCACACTCCACCGAAAGACAAATGACAGGCGAGGTTTTTACTTGTGATTCTTTAATTTCCCCAGAAAATCTTTTATAAACCACTTGACAACTTAGATGCACATCTACTACTATTATTATGGTAGCCAAAGCTAACTAAGATTTGCACTAAAGTTAGCCATAAATATAATTTTACAGCTACTCAGCACATATTCTTTAGTGGCAGAATTTCATTCTCAACACATTAGAAGTGTGACAATACATCGATCTACATCAGTACATTGATTCATCAATCTAAAGCGCAAAGATCGATTGAATAAAACTGTATCAAACCTGCTTTTATTTTGAACTATCTTTATTTTATTTGCATATTGATCGGTGGATTCTACATCAAAACAAACATGGTATTATGACTGACTCTGAGATATTGACATTGAATCCCAATCCAATGTATCGCACCTCTGGAACGAGCTGCCGGAGGACCTCAGGGCCGCCGAGAAGGTTCATGTTCTTAAGTCCAGGTTCAAGACCCACCTATTTAGGTTAGCTTTTATCTAATTATTAACTATAGTTTTATTTCTCGTTTTACATGATTATATTTTATTGCTTGCTTAGCATGTTTTATATGATTATATTTTAGCACTGCTTCATTATTTAATATTATTATTTTACTGTCTATATGATTTTATTTATTACTTATTTCATTACTTTTGTCACTTATATTAGCTCTTTTATTTTCATATTTTTACTCATCTTAATCCAGTGTTTCATCTGTAGGGGCCCTCTGCCCCGGGGGCGGTGGTCGACTGTAGCTTCCTGGGCGCTCTATAGGTAGTGTTTAAGTGGAGGTGGGTGTCTATGCTCCCCCTCCTGTGAGCGCCCTGACTGACCCCGGGTTTCCACGGGAGCCGTCAGCAGCACGTTACTGCAGCAGCACGTCTTGCTCGCGTAAGCTGCTGCTTGGCCCTTCCCACGAGACGCGAAGCAGCAGGGGAGCAGCTGTCACCGACAGAGCACGAAGTCACACGAGTGACTTCGTCAGTAAACACAACAACAAGCAGGAGAAAACTACAACATGGTTTGTGTTTTATGTTCTGTCCGTTTTATAATCGCCAATACGGACCTGAAAAACAAAGGAGACCGCTAGCTAGGTGATAACTTCTCACGGGGACGCACAGTTAGTAACCTTTTTTAAAGTAAAGCAACCGGAAGGCAGTACGTTCTTTATTCTGAAAATCTCGGTAGCTTCTCTCCATTTCCGCGTCCGATTTCCTGTCTTTCCTTCCCCAAAAATGTCGAACTTGACCCGTTTCAGAGGCGTCGCTCGTAGAAAATAGAACCGGCGCGTAAAGGCCGCGACATGCTGCTCCTGAGACGCGGCCGACTCGCGCTGCTGACGGCTGCCGACGGCTCCAGTGGAAAAGGTTCTGTTGACCACTGCGGTTCCTATCAGCAGCTATGACGTGCTGCTGCAGCAACGTGCTGCTGACGGCTGCTGTGGAAAGCCGGGGTTAGTGTGGAAGACGTGATGCCGCCGGGGCAGACGGCTCCTCTGATGGTGTTTCCTTGCCTTACCTTACTTGGCTCATCTGGACTCAGCCGAATATTAATGTTTACTGGTGTGTGTGTGTGTGTGTGTGTGTGTGTGTGTGTGTGTGTGTGTGTGTGTGTGTGTGTGTGTGTGTGTGTGTGTGTGTGTGTGTGTGTGCGTGTGTGTGTGTGTGTGTGTGTTTGCTGTTTTTTAGACTGTTATGGGAATTTGTTGTATTTTTTTAAAGCACTTTGAGTCGCACTTTGCTTGAAAAGCGCTTTATAAATAAAATCTGATTGATTGGTTGATTGAATGATTGATTGATCTAATATCGTATCATGATCACACGTGATTCACATCCCTACAACTCATATTGAGCTCTACTCACTCAATGTTGCAACATGGAACACATTTTGCTAATTTGTAGTTAAACATTTGCGGTGTTACTAGCTAAGAGTCATCTCCAACACATTATGTGAGCACTAGCTGATTATTAAAACCTTCCCCTTAGCTCTTGGAGCCATACATATCTGTTTGTCTGCAAAATGTTTGCTTAACCTTGAACGTTTGCCGGGATGTTGTGTTTGGAGAAGATTCTTCTCAGAGCCTCCTGCCACATGTGGGATGATGATGATTTTGCTCTTGTTGTCCTTGCAGTCAGAAGTGAAGTGAAACCGTAGAGGGTGAGATGGTTTTCAGAAAGGTAGAGTCGGAGCCAGTTGTCTTATAAAAAAGCGCGGGGGTATTTATTACAGACAATCAAACTGCCAACTTCAACACATACAGACAGTGTAAAGCCCCCGAACTAGAACTGAGGTTTGTTTTTATGCAGCTCTGGCATGTGCACAAGGCGTGCACCAGCATTAACATTTTAAACCTGGCAGTTTGGGGCTCAGATATGGCGTCATTACGGGCGACCCAAGTCTTTGACATTAAGTTGGACTTTTCCACCTGATAACAAATTAAACTTTGTTAATTTGGCAGTTGTAGTAAAAGTCTGGATCACTGATCGTTGACTTTTCTGATGAACAGTTCACGTTATCAAATGTACTTTAGCTTTGCTTAGAATAAACTGCACAAACAATTCCTTCGCAGTCCTTGGAAAAACAGCACTCGAACATTGACTGAAGACAAACAGGCTTTTAAACCAAAGCTTCACAATCACAAAGATTCAGTTCTATACTCTTGAACTTTTGACCGTTACGACCACTTCAAAACCAGAGAAGTCCAGTTTCCTTCATTCAAACATTTAGATCAGTCTAACTTAAGAAGGCCACCAGAGCCAACTGAGTTTAAAAGTATCCAACATGGCAGTTTAACAGCTTTTATGCCAAAGGCCTACATGGTAACAGCCTGGTCTTTCACAACATATACCCTTAGGGATTGAGATTCTCAAGAATGTATCAAAATGACTAAAATGTTATCTTATCTCAACATGAGATCAATGAAGGATGACAGGTGGTTCCTACAAGGACAGCTGAGCTAAGCTGGTTTTGAATGAACCTCTCCAAATGAGAAGTGTTTGATTACGTATTGATGGCTCTTTTGCAGTCTGACTCACTCCTCAAGCACACAGAGTTTCTTTTTCGATGCTGATATCCAGGAAATTAAATGAACAAGCACGAAGTTCAGTAAACTGGAATAATAACTCCTAACCGACTTGCTGTTTTGTCAATCAAACTCGACTGTATCAATCAACTTTTCAATAATGGCACACATTAAATTCAGTTTAGACACCAGACTCCTGGTTTGTCTTCCGTAAGTGTTGTCACTTCTTGGGGGATATTGAAGGGGACAGAGTGTATTTCCTGTTAAAGGATCGTATAACTGCGCCCTGCCGGTTGCATCTGCTGCGCAATCAAACCAATCACGGCGGCTGATGGTCAGTGATTGCCTTCAGATTGGCTTGCCTTCACACGGCCCTCTTTATTTCTTCTCTTTACGAACACCTGCTGTGGGTGCCAGGCTGTGATGCCATGGCGACAGAAGGCCCGGGAAGCATCTGCTTTCACTCTCGAATCACAACTTCACAGTCTTGGTTCATTTTTAGTGATTGGACTCTAATTATATCGGTAATTCATGCGTATTTAATTTGGGCTGATAACTGGTCATATTTATCCTCCATCCTAAAAATACATTATTTTACCCATCATCCTCTAGCGGACCACCGTTCTAACAGCCTCTTCTCATACTCACATTTTGAAACACTATTACCAGCTGTTATTCACTTGCTGTCTTCTGTAAAAAATATGCCCAAAAACCCCAAGTCCTGGGGCAGGGAGATAGCATTGCTGCCATAGTGGTTACATGTTAGTCAATTTGAAATACACCGAAAGGAATGTCTCTCATGTGACTCCAGGCCAGCAGAGCGTGACCAGCTGCAAGCATGCCAAGTCTGGCTGGTCACACATGACGGGGCAGCAGACAGGCAGAGGCATGAACACGGGTGTCATCGCTGTCAGATGTGTACACCTCAGCTGTAGAAGAGTGGAGGAGGCTGATTCCTTCCCTTGCTTTTGACTAATTGACCCTGAGCTGGCATGTCAGAAGCTTGAGGGGGAAGCAACATACAGAAGGAACTCCAAAGCTCTTATTTGGAAAACTCGTGTAAGTAAGGTGAAGTACCGCTGAACCAGGAAACCGCTGGTTAGCCTTTTTCATCTTCGAAGGAGGGGAATCTTTTTTTATACTTTCCTTTTTTTTATCTGTAAGCCTTCAGTTCTGCTAATCAGGATCACGAGAACACGGCTGTTTGACTAGGCGCAGGCAGATGCTGACAAACGATAGCAGCTATTCATGCTTGAAAGTAGCAGAAAGCCAAAAATTAACTGAGGACACATCGCTGTCAGGACTGAAGACGATAATGAACACCACAGCAAGCACAAATTAGAGCTGAACTGTCTGCAAACTTTTCATCCTTTGGAGGTAAGTTGTGGATGAACTTTTGTTGTTGTAACTGCTGTCTGTTTTCTTTTTGTAGCCCCTGGACTACGAAGGCAAGAAGATCTACACCTTCAAGGTAGAAGCCGCAAACGCTCATTTGGATCCACGCTTTCAGAGCTTTGGGGCCTTCAAAGACACAGCAACAGTGAAGATTAACGTTTTGGATGTGGATGAGCCCCCGGTGTTCAATAAGCCCTCCTATGTGATGGATGTGTACGAGGACACGCCCGCGGGGACCATCATTGGAGCGGTGACGGCTCAGGATTTAGATGCTAGCAGCAGCCCAGTCAGGTAAACCTAAAGTGTTCTTTCTAAGAGTCTCTGGTTTTGTATTTTGTTTTACTTGAATATCTAATTTGAAGTGTAAAACGATGAATGTGAAAGTCTTGGTCTTTTTTCCCTACATGCTGACTGTAATGCATGTAGAAAGCATGTAAGTGTGATGAAAAGTTAGGTTTAGTGCCAGCTCACCACTTTAATGTTTTAGTTTCAGAGGTATTTATTTTAAATGTTCCTATGCAAGCTTTTAGAAAATATATAGATGCATTATATTGCATAAGTAGTGATGAACCCTTTAATAACACTTACACATTGTCAGTAACTGGACCACTTTTTAAATTCCCATTATTTTTGTTAAAACTGAATGTAGATAAAACCTTTGACGATAAATGATGTAAACATAGAAAAACTGAGTAAGTGCAGCCAGTGATGGAAGGCTTTAGCTCTCTATTTCATTCATCAATTTCTCCAGTCTTTATTCATCAGTGTCATCAGGGCTCTAACTGTGAGAGTTTTGTCATCTTTAATCATCAAATTGAGGTCTAATCAATCTGTGCAGAACATCTGTCATGCAACATCCTTCTAGTGTCATCCGCTGGCTGGTCAGCCATTGTTAGCAACACGGTGCAACATGGAGGGAATGTTGTAGCTGCATTAGTGGCCTTTTTACGGATGCTGAAATCGAACATGTGCACTCATGAAGGTGAACAAACTATCTTACATGTTTAGTTAGAAAAGTTGCCTTGGGTTACGCATGTAGACTAGTTTGATTTCAAAAACACATTTAGGGATGACATTTAATCTGTAGATTAGATTTTTTTACACTTCTCCATGAAACTTAGAGGCAGAGTAGAAATTAAACCTCAAAACTAAACTTCAGAGAACCTTAAATCATCTAAAGGCCACAGGTCCATCTAGAAGCTATCAAACATTGAAAAGAGCATTCAGTCTCAGTTTTGAAGATGCAACAGAGCACAGATGCAATTGAAGTCAATCAGTTTTGCTGAGGAAGTTTAACAGAAAACCTCGGACAGAGAGAGACAACAGGTTAAAGAAGCCAAGAGTCTGTTTAGGTGCAGACTTTGTCAAAGAAATGTGAAGACGTTTGGGAAAGTAGGAAGTTTGCAGCAACATTTGGAAGTTCAAGCTGCTCAAAAATTAGAGTGGGTAACGTCATCAAACTCAAAGTTGCAAATTCAATGGAAAAAGCTTCAAATGTGATAGGAATTAACACAGGAGTGTGTGAAAATCATTGCAGGTATAAAAAAACCTGACCAGTAACACAAAGTTCAACTTCCTGTGACCGATTTAATCATCAAATGATACTCCTATTGTGAAATGTACATAGAGGGTGGAGCTTTGATAATTATTTTCTCAAAATCTTGTTAAATCTAAAATGACAAATTTAGAAAACAAATTAGCTTAAAACATTTTTTTCATGCCTCTTAATGACAGTCTAACAGTAGAGCTATAAATATATTGTGAGGATAAAAAACGTAAAAAAGTAATAAAGTTCTCTCACGTTGGTCTAAAATCCTCCAGCAATAACATGTTTTGGACTGAAAGCAACTACCATACGGTTGTCGGTCTCAACGTACCGCTGCACTTCTCTGGGTCCTCCACTCATGTATTTCGCAACAGAACACCAGTGTGAGAAGTTCTCCGCTCAGTAATATCAGAGAAGGAGAAACAGCCGGCTGCTACCACTCCAACTTTAGGACAAACTACCAGAGTCACGGACAGCAAACCTAGAAGACGGAAACTGGTGTTTAGCGCTATCTTGTTTCCTCTGGAAATGCGGGTGTTCCAGCATAAGCATCTCAGGGAAGATACCCGAGGGGAGGGGTGAGTGCTCTGTGACCATGTTAGCATTCAAAACCCAGCTTATTCTGTAGATTCGCTAGCCTGGCTAGCTATGCCAACGCTTCCTTATGGGAATCAAAGGGCCTCGTAACGCTCTCATTCAAATAACCCCACATCCGGAGAATTTTAACAAGGCCAATCAGCACTGAGCTTCGTACGTCGCACGCTGCAACGTTCATTTTCTTATAAACAAAGATGACGTCTGAAGCGAAGTTCGCTGCGGCTCTTTCCGCTGTTCTAAAAGACTTGAACATGTCTATAGAACCACAAGAAGAAGCCCTAAAAGCCTTTCTTCTATAGGAAGATGTTTGCACCGTCGCCAGACGCCTTCTTTGACTACAGCTAAAAAAACAACAGCGTCGCTCGATACAGTCGTCCTTTCCAACTTATTTCTGATTGGTTATTTTTGAGCTGGCTAGTCCCGCCCCTCATGGTGCTCCCTGCCTCTGAGTATCCAGACTCGTTGTCTATGCAGAGTAGACAGGAACGGCCCAAAACGATCTCCTAACACATGGATGTTCTGCTTCCTGATCACGTGACGTGTGACGTATGCAGATGAAGATCAGCTTTAGAGCTGAGATGTTTGTTCTCACGGTGCGGGGGCTCGTCCGACGCCCACACAGTAAAAAAATGCAAATGACGACTTTAGCCGTCATTGGTAGTGAACGAGTTAATGCCACACTCAGTTTTCCTAATTGTTGCAAAAACTGAGGAATCACAGATCGATAGTAATAATAATAAACTTCAACTAATGCATTTCATTTCATCACAGCCCTGCTGCGCTCTCATTGGTGATTATCTTAAGGGAATTTCAACATCATCGTTTGGTTTTGTCCAACTCCAGATTGAAACTCATAGCCTTTTGTTCCTCCTGGGTCTCTGTCTTCATTGAGCCCATTTAGAAGCACAAACATGCTAAATGATTTTTATCGTGATTTTTATCTTGAGAGGCGCTATAAAAATGATTTCTTCTTCTTCTTCCTCCTCTACTTCTTCTTCTTCTTCTTCTTCTTCTTCAAATGGCTAACTCCATTTCTTTACCATAAAATGTTTGTACAACTTTTCTCAGTTGTAGATAACAATAGCCGTTCTTTACGAAGACAAAGGAAAGTGCACCTTTAAAAATGTATGGGAAACCTTTCTAATATCTACTAGCCACTTTTACTGAGGCCGACTGCTTCGGAGTGATTTCTTCTTCCAAGTAAGAGTCACTAGTTTTATTTAAAGTGAAAAGGAAAGGGAAAACCCTGTTGCACGGCCAGCAGCTGATTTATTATAAATATTTAATTAGAAAGAAAAAAAAAACAAAAGAATAACAGAAGCAGACATTTGTTCGATGGAAAGCTAATGCCCTCTGCTCGGGCCGATCTCTTTGTCTCCAAACCTTTAAATATTCATCAGCTCAGAGGACATTGTTGCTTTGTGCATCTACAGAAAGTTGCCTTGCATTCTCCACTTCCAAGAAAAAAAAGAGACCAGATGACCTGTCATGCATAGAGAACCATGCTTTAAACTCAATTGATTCAGCTATTTAGCAACATATGTTTGTGTTAGCTTGGGGAAGAGAGCGTTATCATGAATACTGCATTGTTGGCTTATGTCACAGAGCTTCTTGAAGCTTAAATGTGTTTTAGAGGCTTGAAGTTTGGTCACATCTTTTACTAAAATACTGCTGTTGGGGTTATTAGGAGCGAACAATTAGTAAGCTTCAACTTACTTTTGGATTCTTCAATAAATTCTGTAAATATGGGAATATTTACTGATTTATTAATTAATTAAGATATTCTTAGATATACGGGGCACCATTCCCCTTTTTCCGGGGAAAAATTGAATCCAAAACTCTTATCAGTCTTTCTTGAAGTTCGTAGAATCCTTGGAGCAGAGACTTCTCTTCGACACAACAAAGCTACTGGAGACGAAAATCTGAATTTTATAACGTTTAATTAACAATTTGTCAAATGAATAAACAGTGGCATAAATGAATAATAACCATGTGATATAATAAAAGGATGTATATTCAAAATAATGTTCAAGGTGTTTTGTGTGTATGTAGGATGTATGAATGGGGTCCTTTGTTCTCACAAAGGAGTAGTGTGTGTGCGTGTGTATGGATTCAAAATGGAGTCTTGAATACAAGATGGCTGACTCCTTTGTCTGGCTAAAGTGTGGGTGGCAACTTGCACTTTAACTTCCAAAGCACTTAGAATCAGTAGTAACTTAACCTTAAATCACTCAAAACATTTCAAAGGATCATGCAACAACACAAAAGATTAATCACGAGTTAATATCCTTAGTTTATCAGCCTGGCCATGGCCGAACATTTAAAGATACCAAACAATGATTAATAAGCAGTTTATTCTTTCAAAATGACCCGAAGGACGAATTTGGAACGAAAGAGGAAAACACGAAGCTACTTTTTTTAAGCAATAGCGCGGTTTTATTGCTTATTCTGGACTATAGAGGAAACGGGAGAAGAAAAGAATGAGAGAAAAATGAGTTTTCTGATCACCAAAAGAGCGAGGCGTCCCTCCCCCTTTTGATTTGACGGTTCTCCGTGTTTCTCCGCAGTTTTCAGCGTCATCCGCCGGTTTGATGCTTTCTCCGTTGTTTGGCTCCACGAGTGTTTCTCCACGGCTGGACACAAAGAAAACGAAGTTCCTTTTGGGCTGAGTTTGACAACTTACAGCGTTTCTGAGAGCTGGATGGAGTTGTTGTTTCCCTCCGCTGGTTCTGTGTCCTCAAACATCAGCTGGAGGGGAGCAGAAACGAGCAGATCAGCGGTCCCGTGGGCTCAATTTGGCTCTTAGAGCTTCCGCGTGCTCAAAGAAGTCGGAGCGTTCGACAAGCGTGTCCTCACCGCCAGGTATCCTGGGCAAAAGAACGAGGTTTCTTTGTCTCTGCTGAAGATTTATGGTCTTAGTTCGCGGGGAAAGCTCCACGGCTTCCCGCACATGCGCAGAACGTGTTTCTGGTACTAGGCGGTGACATCATCCCAATGCTTCCGTGTGCAAAGTATCATGGGAAATGAAGTTTCTTGGCGCTGATGTGGTTATTTGCTTTTCAGAGCAATTTAAGCACAGTCATTTTGGAGAAAATCACTGCATAGTAATTTCCTCATGAGGTCAGACCCTCAACATTCCCCCTTTTGG